TTCAATAGTGTTAAAAAAAATTTGGTTACAAGGGCACATTATTATGTGCTGGTTTATGTCATACTATATCCTGAATTTTGTGTTAGCTAGCTGTGTTCTGTCTTTCTTATCTGTCTGTCTGCCTATCTGTCTGTCTGTCTGCCTGTCTGCCTGTCTGTCTGTTTGCTAATTAATTATATATTTTCTTCGCTTTCTTTCTAAAAGTTCATAGATGTATCAGTTATATAACTGTAAGCCTCATCTCTCACTGATTGTTTTCTGCAACTTTTCTCACAATGTTTTTTGTATGAAAATATTTAATGTTTCATTGTGTTGACTGGCCTGATGTGCCAAATTATCAAGACACTTACTCTTTTTTTAGTCTGTATATCAACTGCTCAGAGTATGACTCTCCAATGGGGGGACATTTACATGCTGTTATGCACAGTAGAATTGTAAACGAGCTGATTTATCAGTGTCATGCTCATACTGTGCCGGAACAACCAAGGGGGACCTGCTGCTTTTTATTTCCTCATCCTTACTATCGTCACTTTTTCTGTACTTCTTTTGTTTGTTTGTCACTCTCTTGTGAAATGCTGTTTCCGGGGTGCCTTGATAGTAGAAGCAGACTTTGGGCTGTTGAGGCTAGAGGAGTGAGCAGTGTAAGCTTGATTCTGCGTTTGGACTTCTCTGTTGTCATCAACCCCTTGGCGCTCATATGACCTTATGCAGTTGCAAGCGGCGTAAAAGCTTATTTAAAAAAGAGAATGACTCTGTCATACTTTACTTTACAAAAGGATGCATGGCGGAGTCTTTCACTAAGCGGTCGATATGTTTTTTTGCTAGTGAAATGGTAATATGCAGTTTGTTAAATTTGAGGTTTTTTTTTCCAAAATGCATGTAAATATGGTTTTTAAATGAAAAAAGAAATGTTTTACATTAATATTTCTGAGATGTTGTTTATAATATATGTATTGGTTGTGTCAAGAAAAATGGCCAGATTTATGATTTACTTTTAGTTTTGGAGAACTACCCGGTACCTTAGAAGTGAAATAAATATGCGAAAATAACTCTCAGGTGTCATTACATAACTAAAAAGTAAAGACATGGATTCTGATAGTTTTCTGCGAATTCTGTTATAGAATCTATTCCAGAGATGGTAAAACTATAATACTTCTCTTGAAAGCAAAAAGTAAAGTTTTCCATTTAATTGCAGTCTCTTCTCATTGCTTGTTTTTTCTGTTTGTTGCTTCACAGTGTCAATTCATGTAAGTTTAATGATATTAACTAATAAAATGGTGGATGTATTCCTGCAGAAAGCCAAAGTCGAGAATGGAGGAGATCAATGAAATCATTGCCAGGTCCCAGACTCGGGCGCAAGCCATGCTGGCAAGTGGCGAGTACAGTCTTGATTCTTCGCTGCGTAATATGAACCCTTCACGAGACTACAACGTGGGAGATAGTAACTTTTCTCCAGACACCTCTGTTGCCAGTGATGCTTCCTTCACCAATGCCACCCTAGCAAACTTGTCTTTCTTGAATCTGTCAGGAACACATAACACAGTATCTCCCCGGAAGTGACTGCTGAATGTCATATGAAAGGTGATTCAAAGTAAATTGACCGTCATATGCTTTGATTATTGGGAAAGCTTGTTTAATCTGAGCTGATTGCTTCCTTAGGCTACAAAAATATTTTCTACCAAGGAATTGCCATAGAGTCAAGTGTAATAAGGGTATGCATATCTTTTTTTACTTAATGCATATCTGAATGCTCTACCAAAAAGTTTGTATGGTTTATACAAATATTTTTTAATACAAATTTTTAGAGATCTTGTACAACTTATTTACATTTCCCAACTACATCCGCTGTATTAGTGGCGAAAATTTCATTGTAATTTGGAGTTGCATTAAGAGAGTTTTACAGTTCCCATAAATTTGAAAGTATGTTTTTACTATAAAAGTGCTGCTGCATCTGACAGAATAAATGTTTTTTATCAAGGTATTTTTTTTAAATGTCAGAGAACTAGCTTAAAAGATATACTTGGGTTTGAAAAATGTCTGAAAAGTAGAATATTATCTCTCACAGTTTTGAAGTACTGAATATGTAAAAGGTCGAAATGTTGGAATTAATTGACATCAGGGATCACGGAAGACTGCACTAAGAAACTGTTGGTTTTTTTAAAACTCTGAAACTGAGAAATTGTATTTGTACAATATATCTCTGTCTGTCATGAGGTTGTACTGTTTGATGTTCACTTTGTGCGCTTCACAGATTTTCCTGTAAGTGATGTGGTCAACACTATTCACTAATCTATATAATTTTTCTCTGTACTGTTTACATCAACTGCCCGTCCATATTTATTTTTGTTTCTTTGTAGTCAAGAGTACTAAATCCAAAGTCATATTACAATGAGAATTTTATTGGTTTGCTGTGATATAGATCAGTAGTTTTATTTGATTCCATCCATTGTTGTGATGCTTTTTAACTCTCACTATTCACTGTGATATACATTTGCTGTTTTAAAAAAAATACATTATCACATTATACTCTCTTTTTGTCATAACTTTGTCCTGCCATATAGGTTCTGGTGTTTTGATCCCTTCTTCTTTTTCATGGGTCGATTTGTTCCCTGCACCTCTCCTGCTTTTGACTTGTTGTTGAATGAATTTTGTTTTGAGGACCATGTAGAAACAGTTTGTGAGAAGTGTGAGACTTTGTCGAATAGACCAGTCGTTAAGTAGTTTTTTTTTGTGTGTGATTTGTTCTTCAAAATCATTCCAGCATTTGTGTGCCAACACTTTGAGAACCCCCCATGGCAGTGCCACTGACTGAAGCGTCTTTAGGCCATTCCCAAAGAGGGGACATTTCTCGTTCTAGTGCTCAGTAGAATTGTAAATGGGATGATTTAATAATGTCATGCTCATAACTGTGCCTGAACTACAACAGGTAACTGCTGCTTTTTCTTTCCTAATCTTCACTATCGTCATTTTCCTCTACTTCTTTTGTATGTTTGTCACACTCTTGTGACCTGCTATTTCCGGGGTGCCTTGATAGTCGAAGCAGACTTTTGTGCTGCTGAAGCTAGAGAGGTAAGCAGAGTAAGTCCATTCCCTGTTAGGACTTCTCTGCTGACATCCACCCCTTGGCGCTCATATGACCTTATGCAGTTGCGAGTGCCGTAAAACTTCTACTGAAACAAAAAACACTTTTAGATGATTTCATGCTCTTTAGAAGCTCTTATGGTTGTTTATTTATGCAAAGTTTGACATTTCTTAAAATCAAAACTTTTGTCTGTCATTCATGTTTACTGTATAGAGCACTTTTAGTGTGTTTATGAGTGAGTTCTGACTTCATAAGTGTGCAGTGTTTGATTCCACTCTGCAATTGCGGTGTTACTCAAAGTTGTTTTATATCTTATAGATTTTTTGAATAAGTTTACTTTGAAGAAAAACGTCTCTTTTCAAAATGGTGTATGGCAGTCTTTCACTAAGCAGTTGATATGTATGGGCTCTGAGGCATTTGTTGTTCTGCTTGAAATTATGTCTCTCATTTGGATCCTGAGCCTGGAAAAGCTGAACTATCTTGGAATCTCTGTCATACAACATTTTATCTTAAGTTCTACTATGAAGATAAAGTGTTGGAGAAGACTGTGAACTTTGAATTAAGAGAAGAAACTGAATAGAATATTTCCTGACCATGTTGATTTTTTGGGGAAATTGATTGTGCTTTTCTCACTTGTTTCTTTCTCATAATGAGGAATAAGATAGTCTGTCCATCAGTCTGAAAGCTTTTACCTTTAGATGAGATGCTGTAGTTTCTAACAAAGAGAATACCTATAGCAGCTCGACTAAGGCCAACGTTTTTTTCAGAATTTTGCACTTACCTCAAGACACTGGTACACACACCATTCAATATGAATTTTAAAAAAATCAATCAATTCGAATGATAATAAGTATTGTTTTTGCTACATTGTTTTCTTATTTCTTGTCTGTATTTGTTGTTGTTTGTATTTAGTAGATTTTGGGAGATGTTTCATTTATCTCACAGTGTCATGGCAACTGAGAAAGTAGTCAAATGCTGTTGTTACTATAGTAGACTCTATCTCTGTAATTTTTATAAGCAAAGATTTGGTAGAAATTACCTACTTGGTTTGGAGCTGGTCTGTCATTAAATTGTTTCTGTGCTGAGCGGGTATCAAACTGACAGTAGAAATGCACCTAGGTTCAAATTCATGTTGAATATGATTTTTATTGAATTGCCATATTGATATTTGGTAGGGAGTAGAAACTACAAAATAATAACTCTTTGATCTGGTTTCATTGTGGTGTAGTGTATAGTTTTAAGTGAGAACGGTAGCCACCCTGTTTTAGGGATAGTGCATTATTACTTGTGTACATGTTCTTTTCTGATGACTCACAACTTAGATAAAGTTTATTCTTGAAGGTCACAAAACTAGAGACGAAGTGATGGTGACTTCTATAGTTCCTCACTTTATTTGTCAAGGTTTCTGAAATATGTCTTCATGATTGTAAGATTTCTATATTTCACAAATTGCAATGCAAGGTATATGAACATATAATAATGTATGTCACACACATACACACACACACACACACCCACATACACACACACACACACACATACACGCACAGGCACGCACGCACGCATGCATGCACACACACACACACACACACACACACACTCTATATTTATGTAAGCTCACATATATATCTTTTGTTCAAGGTAGAGGTTGAAAAGCAACATGTTCCTGTGCCACAAATGTTTTCTCATTCTCTCTTTCTCAATGTTTCTTTTGAAAAAAGCGAGCCAACTCGAGTGACACGTTACCTCTGCAATTTGACTTGGATCTTTACTGTGCGATTTTTTGGTCAGCTTTAACATTGCAAATTTTTATGTACAAGTATAAAGCAAATTGTTTTGATACAACGCAATCTGTATTTCTAAAGAAATACATTTGAAAAGCCTTGTGTTCAACTTCCCATCAAACCAGTGTAACATGACATGGTTGTTTCTCAATGTTTACCGACTGTTAATAAACAAAAATGTGTTCACTTTCACAGATCATGAATCAAAATCGTAGTCTTCACGCACTGTTTACCTCTAATGAAGCTGTTTTTTTGCATGTATTGTTGTATTTGTTGTAGTGTATTAGAACCAGTTTATCTGTAGGCCCTGCAAACTAGCGATGAGTCGTGCTGGAGATAATTGTGTGCTGAAGTGAAGACATAGAGAGTAGAAGGTTGATGAAACACGGTTTCTTTGAGGCTGAGTGCAAATGTTCAGGGAAGTGGTTAATGAAGCAAATAGTACCTTTGTCAGAGTCTGAGGTCTTACAATGCTTCTTTCAGTATCGTATCTTGGTGAATCTTTGTTATTTTTTTGACGATGCAAAACCCACTCTACTACCTTCGGAATTGGTTTTTAAAAAAATGAAAATTGTTCTGACCATTATGTTTTCGAGCGCTATTTCAGTAATTAGGTCATTTAATCACTTACGAAGTTCAATCTCTGTAAACTCTCTCATCCTGGAGTGAGAGCTTTATGTCCCTTCAGACCCCGAGGACAAATCTTGAGTCATTATCTTTCCTTCATTTTTGTACTCTGTTGTGCTTCTGGACTTGATTACATTTGTCACTGTAGTTTGTATGTGCATATGTTTTTCTTATATAGAGTGCAACATGCTCTTATAATAATATCATTTGCAGGAAGATACGAGTTGTTTGATCTGTCAGATACATTCACATAGAAATCATGTATGAGATAAATGGTGTATCTTTTCTGATACTGCAGCTCTAATTTGTATGGAAAGGAAGTGTCAGTGTAGTTTGATAGCTTTTTTAGTCTTCATTTAGTCAACAATGTATGTTAGCTTTTTTAGTCTTCATTCAGTCCACAAATTGTTTGTTAGCAGTCTTAGTCTTCAGTCAGTGAACACTTGTTATATGTGGAATCAGGTGCTGGTCAATGTTTGGGCGTATCATGAAGTTATTGGTATCGTTTTTAAGTTTGTTTATTTACCTAGCATGTGATGAAAAAAGTAAAACATTTATCATAAATAGAAGTCAAGATATTCGTGATAAAAGAACTGGTGTCAAAGACAAAATTAGAGAGAAAATGCCCACCGAAGTTTGGTGACTTACTAAGCTGTAGTGTCTTTGGAAACTGCAAATATATATTTCTGTGTCTGTGGTCAACGATTTTCAGTAAAATTCACACAGAAATGTATTTTTAAATAGACGTAAAAAGGTGCTGAACAAAAAATAGAAAAACTAATTAAAATTGACCAAGGAGTGGAACAATTTCTGTTTCTTTAATTTTATTATTTTTGACGAGCGCCTGATTTCACCACAGTGCCTCACATGTTTGTTAGCTGTCTTAGTCTTCATTCAATGAACAGTGTGTAGGCCTACATCAACATGTTTCTCCTTGGCAATTAAGATAATGTAAGATATTCTGTTTTTTAGTCTCAAGCAAGGTTATATAGAGTAGAATCCTGCTTAATGTTCAAGGCACAGTATTAATTCATCTCTTAAAGAGAAGTGATATTCCCAATAATGTATACACTTTACGTCCATTATAGATGGGCAAAAAAAAAATTACAAGGTTGTACCATGTGATTTTCTCATAGTAAGGTGTAACCATGAAAAGAAAAGTATTCTTTAAACTTTTTTCAACATTACATTTCAACAACAACTGCTAGTTGTCTGCCAATTTGATGTTTTATAATGTTAAGGTACATAATTTAAACCTTTAAACTTTGAAAAAGTTATGTTGTGAGGTATGTCAGTAAATGACTCACAATTTTCAGACCTTGACCTTGTGAAGCATAGATCTATAGTCATATAGTGAAAACTTTCTACCTCTTTTGCATAATGGATATGAAGTCACAAAAGTAGTATTTTGAATAGATTTCATCTGGATAACATTTTACATCACTATACAAGTTTGTAGTCAGGCAGTATCACTGTTACACCAGCCATTTTTTAACCTCATGATTTTCTTTGTCATTAATACCTGTGTTTAAATAATTTTTGTCTTTCTTAATTTTACATCTTCACATTTCATATTTTTATTTCAGTAATATTAACAGTTCCACCTATGTCCTAATTTCCACATGATCTATGTTTTTTAGTTTGATTTTTGTTGGTGTATTTAACAATTTTTTTTGGCATGGAACAAACGATAATAATTGTCTTCGCTAGAGCGCAAAAAAGCATAGTTCTCCCCTGACAATCAAAGTCAATGTCAAAGGTCACCCAGGTGTATATCAGATTCCTGGTTGTTCTGAGAAACAATGAGACAATTTAATAATGAAGTGCTGATACCATTACATTAAAGTGCCTGATCTTGTACAATATCTCAATGCTGTCTGCTGATGTGGATGAGAACAGTCGTCCCTGGGAAAGTGATGTAAAAGGATCACACTGTCTGGGAGTGTCTGACGCTCACCTGGTCGCTGAATCTGCTGAATTTTGCTTTTTGTATGTGTTTAATAAATG